CCCTCCTGCTCTGCGATGGGCGGCCGGCTCCACTCGCCGCGGAGAGCTGAGGGGCTGCGCCGGTGACGGGGCTGCCGTCGCCGCAGCATGGGGTTTGCAAGAAGCTCGGGGGACCGCTGGCTCTGGCACCAAGAGCAGCCGCCGTGTGCCCTGGGAAGGGGTGGATGCTGCTCCGCGCCGCTCGCCTCTGCAGCGGGGTGAGTTTCTCGCGTCTCCCTCGTGGCGTGGGGGTTACCTGGGGTGAGGCAGGCAGCCCCGGCGCCCTGCCCACCAGCCTGTCGGCTGTGGCACAGCAGCTGAGCGTGGCACAACCAGCCCTAAAAGGGTGGTTGCACTTCTGCAACGGGTGGGTGGTGTGTGCATGGGGCGGGGGGGGTGTCCGAGCCAAGCGGCAGCCTGCCTCGCTCCCGGGGAGCAGCTGGGTTTTCCAGCCAGCTTCAACACTTCTTGCTGCTTTTTTTCAAAGCTGCGCCTCTGTCGGAGACAGTGCCAGGTTTGAGAGTGAACAGTTAATTTAGGAAAACTCAGCAGAGTGCTCATACTCCCTTTCCTCCAGCTTCCCAAGCCTTTTGCACTTCCCTGGGTTAGGCAGCAGCAGAGCACTGACAGAAACGGTGCCGGGCATTAAGCGGTGGTGACAGCTGGGTTTTGATAAGTAAATTGAATGATTTGGGGGGGTGGAGGAGGCTGCTGTCAACTTCACCAAACGCAGCGAGGGCGAGGGGCTCTGGGATGGGGCACAGCTGGTGAGAGGTGGCTGCCTCTGGCTTCAGCCTGCTTGTGAAAGCACCCGATTTTTTAATTTCTCCCCCCTCACTCCCTGTGTCCTGAGTGGTGATCATGTATGTAACCACCCAGCCATAACTTGAGTCCTTTTTTTCCCTCCTTCAAGCGTGGCGCCCTGACCCAGCTGCTTGAGCGCTGGAGCACAACTCCTGGCTTTGCTCCCGAGGGACTGCAAGGATCCGAGGTTGTTCTCAACACCCTTGGGCCACTTCAGTCAAGAAGGTTTCCACCTCATTTTAAAAAGCAAAGCCTGGGCAGTGAGGGGAGACGCTCGAGTGGCACATGTGCTGATAAAGGCACTGCCAAGGTACCGCATGAGCGTCTGCAGGGCGTTCTGGCCAGAGCAGCCAGCAGCACGGGGACGGAGGGCTCGGCAGGGACTGCTACGGCCGCACATATCGGCGCTCTTGCGACAGAGGGCTCGGCTCCCTCCAGCGCGTTGCAGCACTTCATCGTGGACAGAATTGCACCATGTTGTGTTACAAACTGTAAATAGTTGTATTATAGCCTGGTTTGTGCATACAGAAGCCGTAGCGACCTTTGATACGGGTTTGGGCCAGGTGTGTTCTTGGCAGCGAGGCAGGTCAGGCGCAGAGGCGCTGTGGGTAGTCTCGTGTTGTAATCCCGGGCATTAACTGAGTCCGACCTGCTCCAGTCCACGCCTCGCTGGACGCCTCTGTTTCTATAGTGCCTTTTGTAGATACAGCTAAACACACATCATGCAATGCAATGAACAGAACCATGTCAAAGGTGGTGTTTTGTTGTTTTTGTTTTTTCCAAAATGCAACTGACTGTGTAAAGCTGCTTTTTTTTTTAAAAAAAAAAAAAAAAAGTCCAAGAATAGCTACAAACCGCTGCCTCTTGAGAAACGCAAGAGTATTTTCAGCTTTGATCTAACGGTAGGTTAATACAATCAACTTGTGTGTGAGCCTGGCTTTGCAGCAACATGTGGCAGGGGGGGGAAAGGAGCTGTTGCCATGTGCCCTCCGTGCTGTAGCCAATTTACTTGTTGGTTTTTGCCGCTTCCGTTACTGATGCTGTTGTTTAAATAACTGTACTATATTTTGTGAAAAGCTGGAGAAATTTTATTCAAAGAGAAATATCGAGATTAGTTATTTATGAGGACCAAAAAAAAAAAAAAAGGTGTGTGTTGTTTTCTTTGCTTCTGCTTCCGCTAGAATATTAATTACCATAAAAAACTTAACTGTGGGGGGAGGCATGTGCTGGAGGCTCCTGTCACTGGGGATCGTGGGGGACTGGTGAGGCAACTACATGTGCGTGGTGCAGGAATAGCACATTCCCTGTGCGCGCACCCCACGCGGCGCTGCCCTGGCCAATGGGGCTGTCACGCACCCGTGGCCCACCGGGGTGCAGCAGCCCGGCTCTGCACTGAACTGGGTTTAATCCCCGGGGTGGCCGTGCCGG